ATATATATATATATATATATATATATAAACTTGCTCTGTGTTTGTGTCTTTAAAAATACAAATATGACAATTGTAAGGATTCTCTAACAGAGCTCAGAGATCTGTTCCAGCAGCAGTTCTGAAGGAGGATCTTTAATGAATCTCACCATCCGCTGCAGGTTTAGCCAAATGCACAGTAATCCAATTTAAATGTGTCTTTAATATATTGAATAAGTAGAGTGTTAATACAGTGTAACAGTATTGGTTAGAGATGTCTTCATAAACAAGAAATATGGTCATAATTTTTAAAAAATGAGCTGAAATAAGGATGAAAGCTGAATTGTCTGGCTTGTTTTAGTGGATTTGTCCAAATAACGGTTACCTTCAAACGATGTGACTCACTTCTTCATTTTGTGTGTTTCTGCATGTGTTTTAAAGGCACGTTGCACATTCATCAGTATGTTTTATCTATCAGAATGAAGAGCGTCTCTAAACAAAGCAACATTTTGGTGGCTCATTTGATCTGCTGTGGCAGTTTTTGTCCAGAAGAGGTCAGTGTACTCTTTTTTATTCCAGTCTGCTCAGAAGGAAACAGTAATAAAACACTGGGCTGCAGAATTCAAAGTTTATGGAGGAAATACATGAAAGGAAACAGAGATTAAGGCATTATGTCCAACGCAGTCAGGTGTCAAATTTGGATTTCTGCAAGATTTACCTTTAGCAGCAGGTGTGAGTGCATCATTGGGCTTATGATGGACTTAAAACCTGTCATAAACTTTCAAGTTCTGTATAAAACTTACTGGGTTTGAATAACAGTGAGTCACATCTGTATTTGGACTAAATCTAGTCACGTAGATTGAAACCATGTCACTGCTCAATGAAATGTTCTATTTGTAGCTACACTGCATTCTTAAGTCAAACATGTCATTTTTAGCTGCTGTGTATTTTTTGGGGTACTTCCTGTCATACACCAACACTAAGAAGCAATTAACTGTGAAGTGAATTGTGAAGTATCAGTCTTTTATTGCAAGTGCTTTGGCTAATGGAGTAAGGTTGTGAGACAAAGAAAATGTCCAGGCCTGCCTAAAATCTTCCAAAGCTTTGAAATTAAACTTGAAGCAGAAGAGGCGTATTTCTGGCCAAAACCACTCTGACCTTCACTATGACCATGTCCACAGTGAGGTGTCTTGCTCTGGAATATAATAGTTGTTTTGGTCAAAACAACAATAAGATATTACAAGCCATTGGTCTGAAACTGCAGTCTTCACAGGTCAGATTCCTGTAATTTGTAGGTGCGTCTCTTGTCCTACACATTGAAATTTAATTGTGAAACTGCCTCACTAACCAGCACCCCTCCCGACCCTACTAAGGGACAAGGGTGTAAAGAAAATGGATGCATGGATGGATGGAAACTGCCTCACTAGCATACGGTTCAGTCAACAAGCTGCCTTCAAAAGTAAATAGACAGAGAACACTTAACACGCAGCTGTTCTGTTTCTGAGCCTCAAAGGTTTCGGTGCATTTACACAAGTCCTGTTTAGTCCACTTTTATTGAACTGTAGTTCATTTGTCTAGATCAGTGGTTCTTAATCTTTTTTGAGGTACCGAACTCCCCAGTTTCATATGCGCATTCACCGAACCCCCCACCCCTCCCCGACACAGAAAATAATTTGCAGTATTCTGATTTATTAATGTAATTATATTAGCTGTATTACCTCCCCCACGCCACTAGAGGCAGTACCAACCCCGAAAAGATGCGACTAAGGAGCAGATTTAGACTATAGAATTTGGTAAAAATGGTGAGCTTTACTGAAGTAATTAAAGACACAAGTTCAAATCCATGCTGAGAGTGGAACTCCTTCCCGCAGCTCTGATTGGCTAAGCAATGTAACGTGATTCTCTGGAGCAAGTGATGGCAAAACGGGGCGTCATCACGACTTTGCCTCCGCGGCAGAGGCTCCGCTGAACCCCTGGGGTTCGATCGAACCCAGGTTAAGAACCACTGGTCTAGATTGTCCGGTTTGTTTGGAGAGGTGTGAATGTGTCATCAAACCCGCATGCAGACCAAAAATCTAAGTCTGGCCTGCCTAAAAGCCTCGATGTCAGTTTGATTGAAGGGAACTTTAACTTGGTTTGAATAATATGTAGATGCAAATGGACCGGAGACAGCACCAAAAACAGTAAATGTATTGTAGCGCAGAGCATTCTGCGCTACAATACATTAGCCACAGCAGATCAAATGAGCCACCAAAATGTTGCCAAAACAAACACTTGTGTCTAGCACTAGATAGAGAGATGGCCTGTGGTCTTTTACCAAAAGCATATGAGAAATCCCGCAACTACTAAAATCTGACGCTACTCCATTTTTGTTTATGTTTTGTGAAGGAGGAAGTTGGGCTCATGTTTTCTTCTGTGATTTTCGTGTCACTTCCTGTAGTACTTCTTGGTGCAGCAGCTGTCAGGATCTGGATTTATAAAAGTGTCTCTCCCCATTGGCTCCCTGCTGGGAGCGGCCTGGAGCAGAGCTGCACACCTGCAGCTTGTTGGGATCTTCACCCAGAGAGGATTTAAGGAGCTTCCAGACCTCACCTGTCCACTGGATGATTACTCTTTCATGGTAGTCTCTAGCTTGCTAGACCTTCTTCTTAGAAACTAGTTATTTGTGACCTTCTTGAGAAAACCTCAGCGAGTTGTCTGCTTCCCTCACTCGTTCTCTGTCTCTTATTCCCAGGAATAAGCCAGACCTCCAAACCTGTAATCCCACCTGCAGCTCTGAACCTCACCTGCCTGCCCGCTCCAGCCAACAGTTCATTCTTGCCGGAGAAACTTGCCTCGGACCTCCCGATTGGTTGCCTGGCTCCATCCTACTCCTTCCTCCTCCCCCGTTGAGAAGTTAATTTCTCCTGCTGTCCACCCCTCGCACAGTCATTGACCTGTCTCTCAGCTTCCAGATAAACCCCGAGCCCGATCCAAAGAATCACCTGCAAGACACCTGTGCCTGTACATTTTGTAAATAAATTCTTAACTTCCCAGGTCTGATTCTGCATGTGGGTCAGAAGCCTACCCTCGAACATGACAGCGGCAGCACAGGCGCGGGGGTAAGCAGGTATTTCAAAGGGTTTGGACTGTTTTATGCAGTGCAGTGTGAAAGCTGAACATGTAACAAATGTTGCAAACATTCTAAAACTACAGGACACCGGCCTTTAAGGACTAGCATTGAGACCGCAGTTATAAGAAGTTCCAAAGCAGTTTTGAGTAAAACCATTCTGGTTGCAGCTGGCATGCTGAACCTGCCAGCTGCAACTGTTTTATTTTGTTGAATTATTTGCTATTCAGCTGAGTTGTACGTCACATTGTATTATTCAATGTGCATTCATTTTTAACACCATAAAAACGTGGCATTTTGGCAAGGATGTATAGACTTTTGAGAGTCACTGCAGCATGTGATGGAGTACATCATGTAGTGGGACTGCATAAACAAACAACTTCCCCTTCCCAAAAACACCAGTTGGACCATGTGTGGAGGGATAATTGCTCAGAACTATCCTGAGGGTGGGAAACCTGCACCACCCACTGACTCCTGATCTGTGTCCATCCATTCATCAGTCAGTGGCTGGAACATTACAAAGAGGTGGTTAGGTTGTAATTTAGGCTTACACCGATATGGTGAACCCAGCGGAGCAGCAATCACCACCTTGTTGATGCGGGTATAAACACATTATGCCTCTTTTCAGACATCGCAGACCTCCTGGGAGGAATACTTGAGTTTGACTTTGCTCCATCAGCTACCAAAGAAAACCTCAAAATTCCAAAACGCTGCCTTTGAGCATTACTTTTCGTCATCTGGATGAAAAGTGGGTTGCTCAAGAGGGAGCAGGGGATTGAAAACAAATCAACAGCACTCGGTTAGCACTTTTAACGAAACCTCTTTTACTCTCGTCCTGGGTGGTCGCTTTGAAGTCAGGCGAACACTCACAAGCAGAAGGAAATGGAAACAGAATGCTTCGCACAAGAGGTTCCCCACCTGCACACACAAAAGCAGGAGGTGAATGTTAGTTTAGATATTAACAATCATGGATTATAAATATATTGAAGCCGTAAAACATCTGCTGTGTTCCATGTTGGCCTCCTTCCTTTGGGTTTCCACAAGCTTTCCAGAGTCAATAAAAGTCTTTCCAATTAAGGTGTACTTGCTTTGGGAGTACAGGAACTCACCACCTACTGGCAGCCACCTGTCATCTCACGCATCATCAATAGGCTTTACAGTAAGCCATGCACCAAAGGCACGGGGTGAACAATTACGTTTTTACAGGAAAACTTCATTGTTCTCATAAAATCAAGAACAATGAACTGTAAATACGCCTTACAGTAAGCCATGCACCAAGGATAGGGGTGAACAATGAGGGTTTTACAAGAAAAACTGGGTGAGTCATACAAACACAGGTACAGGCAATCAAGTCTTCTGTGGCCTCTGACAGGTTTTCTCCCAGGATTGCCCTGTATGTTGCTCCATCCATCTTCCCATCAACTTTTACTAGCTTACCTGTTCCTCCAGATCCAAAGCAGGCATAATGCTGTCAAACCTGTTTCATCTTTCTTCATCTTGCCTTTTTTCCCTAAAGGCAACATCTGGTCAAGAATCCTTATCATACCAAGTTTAGTCAAAGTCCTGATTTCAGTTCCTATCAGTTCTTTCAGGACCAATGTCCCAAAATATCAGTAAATGATTTTGAGAAGCATAGGCACTGAGCAAATTTGACCCAAGTCATGCAGTTTAAAAAGAAACTATGTCAAATAACTACCAAATACAGCAGTTGAGTCAGCCAAGTCAAGTTTATTAGTATAACAGATATAAAACTAGCCTCTTGTTCTACAGAGAATCTGAGCCTCTGTAATCAATTGATGAGTTTCTCTAGATCTTGCTAGAATCTTAGACTTTGAATACTGGAAATGTTCTTGAAGTGATAGAAGGCCAACTTGTAACTGTCTTTATGTGTCTCTGAAAGTTCAGGTCTGAGTCCATCACTACTCCCAGATTTTGGGCCTGATCTCTAGTTTCTAGCTGCAATAGCTGAAGCTATGTTATGACTCTAGATTGTTCTTCTATAGGTTCAAAGATTCTAACTTCAGTATTGTTTCAGTTCAGCTGTAGAAAGTTATTGTATCACAAGAAATTTCTTTTAGCAAATTCTCCTTATTCTGGTTTAGCAAATAGTAATGATTTTTTTAACACTTACTGAGTTGCAACAGGCACAGCTTGTTTGTTACTCATATGCTCGAATTTGTGTGTGCCTAGTTGTGTCTCAGCAGATGCATTTTCATTGCGCAATTTTACATTTCGTAAAATAAATTTGCTACATTTAAGCATATCAATTTAGAAAAAAATACCTTGTTTTTCAACAAAATGTTTTCCCGCTAAGATGAGTTAATTTGTCAGTCATTTTGAAATTGATCTATTTAATAAAGCTGCCACTTTCTTGCATCACACGAGTCACATGATCAACAACTGGATGTTGCCACTGGACAACAGGAAGTGGTAGGATACTACGGCATGTTTTTTTTTCTAAATTATTTATCATTTGAACAAATATATTCATGTGTGATTTTCATTTCTTATTAAATGGAAATGCCACAATTGTGAAATTTTGATTTTTCAACATTAGCTTAATACTGACAAAGTTTTGAACACATTTCTAATGGAAACACAGCTGTTATTCTGTGACAAAGCCACAAGGACACACCAAACAGACCAGTCCAATCATCATACAGATGTTTTTACAGTATTAGTAGGCTAGAATGTAACAGTTTTTTTTCTTAATCTTTTAAAATTTAGTTTGCTATTTGTGTTCTTTTCTCTGCCTGACTTCTTTTTACAGATGTTGATTAAGCTATGAAAATAATAGACCTAGGCTGTAATAAACTGGAATTATCCTTCAGAGGGAATTACAGCAGCATTGATTTAGATGTTTGCCAAGGTGCTTGTTTGTGTCAGGGTGGGCTTCTGATAGTAAATGCTTGGATGGAAGCTTGTTGGGTTTGGGGTTTTGAGTGTGTGTGTGTATCAGAGAAAGAGAGAGAGAGTGTTAGACCACTGTGGAAGCTTTTGTAGCATATCTGGTTTAAGAGCCGCTCATAAAAAGGAAAACTCGTGCACAAATGCCCCGGTGACGGGAAGCTCTCTCTCCCTGCCTCTCGCTCAGACTGGTGCTCCCTCTTTACATCTCCACACGCGGATCCCCATTTCCCCACATAATAGGCTGCTTTAACTCCAGTTCTATAAAAGGCAACTTCACCCAGTAACTGCAGCACGAGGCTATGTGTGGCCCCTGCAGGCATACCCAGCCCAGCAGAGCCTCAGCACCTCAGCACTGCTCTGCGGCACGAGTGAGCAGCGACGACAAAAACACTCTCTGGCATGGCTCATATATTCATATACAGTCATGTACTTCAGGCATAGATGATTCAGCCTTAACTTTCCACTCACCATGGATTTTCCTTTCTAAATGCTGAGTCAGTGACCCACTTAATCTCAGCTCGTCCCCCTGCAGTTAAATCAGAGTAGCATCTTTCATCCCGTTATCTCTTCCCCCTCCCAATCAGGCCCTTCTTCAGTTTGTATCCACGCCTTTCTGCTCCACGTGCGGGGCAGATGGTGCTCTACCCTTTTATCCGCTGCTGCTATTTGCAGAAGCGGCTGAGAGAGACTATGTGCACGCAGGTCGCGTGCCTGACTAAGGCTAACTAGTCGATGCCCTCCCTCCCATTACTTTTGGATACACGACAGCAGGGCCCGAAGTGTACGGACGGCGGTTTTGGCTGAGCAGATGACTGAGCGCCTGCCTGGCAAAAAGCTGGAGTGTTTGCTCAGCTCAAACATATGGGACACTGGATGTCCGACAGTTGGTGTCTCAGATTCAGATTGAGGGATTAGTCCAAAAAAGACATGGCTGCCAACAGGTGGTTGTGAATGCAAGAAGCACTGTACACAGAGGCACTCCAGTTCTCCAGTGCCAGTGTTCTGTATGTTTTAGGTGCCTCTGTGCTTTAGCTAACCTGATTTCCATAAATGGGTCAGTAGATCTCGCCTTCCTAGGCTGCAGGCTGAGGAATAAATCAGGAATGAATCAGTATCGTAGGACCAGGGACACAACTAAAACATGGACACCGGTCCTGAAGGACCAGACCTGACCAATTTGGATCTAGCCTGGTAAAAACCAGTTTCTTGATCTATATGTTGCCTCATACAGAGGCTCTGCACTGAGCTCTTGTCTATCGAGAAACAACTGCTTGCCGGAGACGTGGACTATGTTGATATTTCAAATGTTACCTAATTGCTAATGTTTGTCTGTGACTTATGTAATGTGTCATTTCCAACCTAAACAAGATAGCTGCTGATGTTAATTCAATATTTGGAAGTGTGGCCAACTGAACAACTTCCTTCATTTCCTCCGCTGTCACTGCTTAAACTGTAGGCGGACTACAATTCTAAAAGAGCGCAGAAAATCATCTTTCAAAGCTTCTTCTTCTGTTTGCTGATTAGCCTGGCAGAAAATCTACTGGAGGAAAACCAAGTCAACAGGAGAAAGCCCAGACTGTGCTGTAAGCGAGATTTGAATCAAGCGAAATAGGGCAGGAAGGCAATAACCAGGCCACCTCTGACCTGACATGCAGGCTAAAGTCATGGGAAATTCTTAAATTATTCTGTTAAATAGTGGACAGTAAACTGTTTGTTTTTTTTGTTTCACAAGTTCTACATGTACCTCATGTCTGCCTTGTAGGCTAGCTTGTGTTATATTTGCTCAATGAATTACTTAAAAAGACTAGAAACATTCTCTGGAATATGCATCCATTGTCCTTGCAGGATCACGAGGGGGCGGCGCATGTCTTTGGACGAGAGGCGGGATACACCAGTTCATCACAGGACAACATAAAGACAAAAAGAGAAACAAATGGTTTCTCAAAATTAAGGGTAATTTCGAGTAACCAGTTAACTTAACACGTGTCTTTGGATGTGAATGTCTGCAGTACCTGGGGTAAACCCATGCATGCAAGGGAAGAATATACAAACCCTATGGAGAAAGACGAAGGCCGTGGAAGATTTGTTGAAGACATTACTGCCAGTCGTGCCATGAGATAAAACTGAACCGATCTGTTATGAATTTATTATCACATATGAACTTGATTCAAAGCAGAATACCCTATCACATGTCTCACTTCAAAAGTCACTGCTTGACTTTTGAAATGTTTTTTGATCTCCTTGATCAAATTTTGGAGAAAACACAATTTCTATTGATGTATGATTGTAGTTGAAAAGCTGGTGATAAATATAAGGCAGAGAGAAACTGAACAGTGTTCCAGTTAAACCACTCGCACGTTGCAGGTTATACAACGCCAACTTAATGGCACACAAGGCCTTACTCAGTCAGCCCCAATCTGAGAACCGATCTGTTGCATTATAAGGTGAAGGGACTTCTGACACCACAAGATATCAGGTTAACACGATGAAGCTGTCTTGTGATAGATCAAGAGACA